TTTACCAAAATAAATTTTTATTATTTTATAATAATAATTAATAAAAATAAATAATAAAATTTATAATAAAAGTTTTTGATAAGTATAATCAAATAAAAATAATATAAATTAATAAAAAATAAGAAAATTTTTTTTTTATCTAACGATGAGATTGAAATGTACTTCGAGTAGTGATACGTACGAAATCTTTGGGTGAGAAGATTTTTTTTAAATGCTACTAGTGTATTGGAATATTTATAAAAGGTTTTCAATACAATAAAAATTTATTTTTCTTTAATTAAATAATAAAAATTAATTAATAAATTAAGAATAAGTAATAAAAATGAGAAAAAAGAAAATTTTATCTGATGATGGAATTCTAAAAGTATTTCGAGTAGAGATGCTTTATGAAATTCCTAGGTGAGAAGATTTTTTTTAATATTACTAATGTATTGAAATATTTATAGAAAATCTTCAATATAATAAAATTTCATTTTTTTCAAAGTTTTAAATGAAAAAAATTCATAAAAATTAATAAAATTTCTAAATAAAAAATAAAATATGTGCATTAACATATTATCATTTGCATTGCATAATTTTTTTTACGAAAAATAAATTTGAGCCTCCGCAGATGAGATTCTAAGGTATTCCAAGAAGCGATGCCTAAAAAATCTCTAGGTGAGAAAGAGTTATTCTAATGTTACCGATGTACTGGAACATTTTAAGAATTATTTCAATAAAAATGTTCTAATTTATTTTTCTCGAATAATAAATAAAAAAACAATTTCTAATAAATAAAAAAAATCAAAAAAGTTATTTTTCAAACACCGAAAATGGGATTATTTTTTATCAAAATCAAAGGATAACACATAGTTAATGGGTACTGTTTTTAAACAGGTGCTGTGGGGGTGCTAATCCTTCCACACACGTAACCGACTCCTGAACCGAGACTGTTGCGCAGACTTTAAAATTATTCTTTTAATAAATTTTAATTAATTTTAAGATTTCATTAAAAGGATATGTTTTAATAAGTGGCCAATCGCACCTAGCCAGAAAAGATTGGTGGTGACTCTGTTATTTTTTTATTTCTTTTCCAAATTCGTCGAGCGAATACAAAATCGTTACAATAAAGTGATATTAAGAAAGATCGGTATGGATTAACACTTGTGAATTTTTCTCAATTAATTCATACTGGACAATAACTTATCGATGAACCTTATGTATTTTAATCTCAAGTCAAACAAGTATTTTACTCCGAAGATCCCAAAGAATTGGGTCGGTTTGTTGTTATTCGAAATACACCTAGAGACTTATTTGATATGGGGTTAGATACCAAAGATGATGTTGAACATTGAATTGAATGTTATCCTTTTGCTGAACAAAACTTGGATGAAAATATCTCCAGTACCTACGCTCAGTGGGTCCGTCAAGACGTTACTAAAGATATTTACGAACAATGAAATGGTGCATCTATAATTTGTAATTTGAATGCTTAAGACATAATGTAATAAATGATAGTATGTAAATAATGTGACATTCGCCATTGTATAATTATTGTATTCTAAATCATACATTATCTTTTGATTTAATTAAATCGATATTTTTTTTTTATCTATTGTAGGTTTTGATTTCTTAAATTGTCAATGTCTTTATATATGTTGTAAACTAATATTTTTTCTATATTTGCTTTTATGATGTAGGTAAGCTACAATGCGAAAGAGTAGGTTGAAAGAAAAACATATCAGAGATATTAGTTTAGAACCGTCTACGGCACCTGTAGTTATTGTCTATGGACTGAATCATTTGAAAGGAAATGAACGTATTGTTGGATCTAACTTTGTCACTTCTCATCCTTCAACTGATATTGGATCTGGCAATACGGGAGGTATAGGTTTAGATAATACCCTTTCAATTGATTATGCTTTAAATTTGAATGCAGGTATGATATACTCCAATTTTAGAATTCGAGTATAATGATAAAAGTATTGTGAATTTACAAATATATTTCTTATTTGTTGTAGTTGATAACAATGGTCATCGGAGGACCAGAGGCCGGACAACTTTGAAAGAATTGTTTGCACTAACTCTTAACAAGCGTATTATAGTGTCCGCAAACTCTGATGGGCAACCAATTGGTGAATAGCCTTAACTATTGGTTGGATTTCTAAGCATGCTAGCCCGTAATGGAATGAAATTGCCTATTCATTATGAAACATGGCATAAAGTTCCAAAACAAGTTAAGGCCGATGCGTTAAACTTTATTAAGTTATTAGTATAATTAATTAGATATAAAAAATCTTTTATTTTACATATTGTTTACTTATTCTAATTTTTCTTATTGTATTATTACAATCAAGATTTGTACTTGAAATACCAACTTCATTTGTGTTTAAGTCATTAGGAAAGAAATGGAAAGATTATAAGCATAGTTTGAAGAATAAGTATTTTGATTGGAATACTACTGTAGAGGCCATGATGAAGAATCTACCCCATAATGTGATTAGGTGGCAATATGAACAACTGGTTAGATTTTGGTTCTCAAGAAAAGAAGACGTACTAGTTTATAGCTTTGTATAGTAGAATGAAATGATGAAAGTGTTTTATGGTTTAAGTTAGTAATATTTGTATTTCTATCATATACGCAATTATTTTTTATGACAGGAAAGAGAACATATTAGGATTGGTAGTAGAAAGTAACAGAAAATATAGCCACACAAGTGGATAAAAAGTTTTACAAGAAAGCAAAAAGAAATTGTAAGTTTATGATAATAAACGTATTCCAATGAATGAACTTTTTCAGCCATTAAAAGGTAAATATGCAAATTAACAGTTATTGCTCTGTTTTAATAGTTTTGATTGTTTCAATACATGATATTAAACTTATCGAAAGTTTTGAACTTAGTTGACACAGATGATATGTATGAAAAATTATTGTTTACGTATATTTACACCTTTAATATAGATTTGTTGTGATTGTTGTCTTTTAACAGTTTGAATAGCTTCAGTACTTGATATTAAACTTGTTCGATTGATTGAACTTGGTTTCTACGGTTGATATGAGAGAAAAAATTATTGTTTATGTCTGTTTGAGATTATTTTTGCATATAAAAGGCAAATATACAAATTAAACTTTTTGATGGGTTCAACATATTGAATGGCTTCAATCCTTGATATTAAACCGAGAGAAAATAATTGAATTTGGCTTCCATGATCGATATGTGTGAAAGCCCAAAATGATTTTATTGTTTGCGTATGTTTAAGATTATTGTGTTGTTATGGGGCTAAAATATAAATACATGAGATTAAAGTTATTCGAAATTTTAATACTTGATTGACAGGCTTGATATGCTTGAATAAGTTACGGTTGATATGTATCATATCAAATAACATATGTTTTTGTATAGGAGAATGAGATAGGTTATCCAATTGGACGTGTGGAACTTTTTTGCATAACACAAAAAAAAAAAGACGGATCTTACATGAATGTCGAAACACAAGAAATTATGATAATTTGTATCATCTATTTTAACAGAAAGTAAATATTTACTCTTTCTAACATATAATCAATTAATCATTAAACTTGATAGTTGTATATGACAAATTCATAAGAAAAAGTGAAAGAAAAATGACTATTGAGATTGAAGCAGCATTTGATGATTCTCTCAACATGCAAGAAATGGAAAATCGGATATTCATAGAAGTTACTTAAAAAAAAGGCATGGACGGGTTTGAGGCCTTCGATTGGGTCCAACACCATCTGCTTACTATGGACATAGCTCTTCGTAATTTATATTCTCAGCAAGTTAGTCTTCGCGAGACATTTCAATATTAAGAAGGGAGTTGCAAATTATGCAACAAAGTTTTCAGCAAATAAAAGTAGAAAGAGAACATGATGTAACAAAATTAAGGAGGAACGTGCTAGAATGGAGTAAGAGTGTACTAAATTTTAGCAGTTGCATGATCAATTTGATCATCTTATGAATTTTGTGCAACAACAATTTTTAGGAAATGATCTTGGTGCTCCACCAACTCAGGTATTATATTTAGTAAATATTTAAAATTTTAAATATATAAAAAACTTACAATCAAGTGTTAAAAATTGTATGGTATTATTCAATAGGTTCTTGACCACGCTAGTGACCAAAGTGAAAAATTTTTTCATCAATTGGCAGCCAGCAAAATGTATGCAGTCATCAATTTCATACATTTTAATTTTTTATTTTGTTAATGTATATAAAATATTTGAATGTTATTATACTAATTTTTAAACTTTGTATTAATTAGATGTATATTTAAACGTGAATTAAGTTAATATAAATTTCAATTTCTGAATTTAAGCTCTTTAATGAAAATAAAATTTATTAAAAGAATTTAGAAAAAAAAAATACATTTTTACATAATGGCGGTGTTTGCGTTTGTTGTGGGTCACTAAATGAATAATTTAGTAGCGTTTGTAGCATAAAACACCACTATAAGTAGCGGCACTCTTACCAGCAAATGCCGCTTGTTAAGTGGCATTTTTATACAAACGCTACCAAAGCAACGACATTTTTCTCATAAAAATGCCATTGAATTAGCGGCGACTAAAAGATACAAATGCTGTAATATAAAGGCATTTTTAGATTCAAACGCTTTTAAAGTAACAACATTTTCAGTTACAAATGCCACCAAAGCAACGTCATTTTTTCTCGTAAAAATGCCACTAATTTAGCGGCATCACTAAGATAGCAACACCGCTAAAATGATAGCGTTTCAGATATAAATGTTGCTAATATTAAGGCATTTTTTTGAAAATGCCGCTATTTACTGCGACGCGTGTATAGCCGGTATTCTGCGTGACGTTTTTCACAAATGCCGCAAATCTTTTTGTGACTTTTATAAACGTCACTAAACGTTAAAAAAAAGAAACCACTAAAAACTAAAACCCCTGTAGTGACAATCTATACACAAAAGATGCACACATTGTTTTGATGATTAATTCTTGGAGGATACAGATAGTAAAAATCATGACAGATATGGGATCAATCAAACAATAAGTGTCCATTTTGAGTCTGGGCAGCCATGACCAGCTCCAATTGCCCTAAAGAAATTGAAGGGAAAGCCATAATATGATCAGGAGGGATGAAATCTTCCCAGCCCTTTACAGGGTTGGTCGTGGTTGTCCCATCCAATCCTATGTGTGTAACGTGCTTCACATCTGTTGGAAAACCAATTTCCATCTCTACTGTCACTTCCTCAATCTCCTCTTTGTAAACTGAAATACCAAAGGGCTGCATGTTAGTAAGTAAATTGAAGAAAAGGCTAGTACCAAAACAGTACCTATATCAAAATCAAACCATGTATTAATTTGAAAAAAATCTATACCAACTGATGTTTTAGACCGCCCAAATAAATGTTAAATTTGGATCGGCTCATATTTAAATGCCTTTGAAGATGTCAAAACATGCATAAAAAATTAGATATGATAATTCATATATTTGTTTCGTATTTATTTCATATCAAATATATGTAAAAACATGAAAATTACATTGTCAAATTCACGTGGACACATCAAATACAGAATATATATATATATATATATATTTGCTTTTGTCAAACCTATATACAATTTTGCTGAAATTATAAATCATGTTGCTTTTATGTTTTTATTTTTTTGTATTATTTTCATGTTATTTTACCGCATTGTATTTAAAATTACAAGTTTATATAAAACTAGGCTTACCCAATATGATACATGTATATCTTATTAATTGGGTAAGGGAATGTAATCAGTAAAGTAAAACTATCAATCTTACCAAATAACTGAGAGAAACCTTTTATGGTAGTCCTGATAAATCTTTGTATCCCACCAGATATATTGAGCTTTGCCAGAGGCAACCAACCAAATGAGTTCTTAGTTCTTCCTTTGGATGAACTTCTCCTGCTGCTTGTTTACCTTAATCACAAACAGTATCAGACAAAACCCAATTAGAAATTGACAGACACCTAAGAAAAAAAAAGGGGAGAAACAGAGAGAGATGATCATACTTGTTACATTTTGACTTGATTCCGATTTTGGTTTTCTTGGGGGACTTTTGCCAACAGCAACACTTGCCTGAGAAGAACAGCCACAGGAGAAAGGAAGAACTACAAACCTTCCATTCGCTCTTTCATTCCGTCACAAGGAAGTAATATCGATTTTAATTAAGAAGTTGGTTGTGATCACAAGTTTGAAAACCAAATGGAAATGGAAAATATTGGGCGAGTTATATTGGTTGGGATTTTGGCTTTATGAACAAGCTAGAATGATTTTGGTTTAGAAAATGGAAAGATACAGTACTCATCTAAAACTAAATTTAGCTATTCGTGTATTCAAATATGCTTATTTCATATCAAATAAATGTAAAATATAAAAATTATCGTACCAATATATTAAACATAAAATATATATTTTTATTTTTATCAAACTTATATATTATTTTTATTAAAATTTTAAATTATTTCACTTTCCTTTTTTTCTTATATATTTTCCTCATGTTAGGTTTAAAATTGCCATGTTTAATTAAAATGGCGGGGTTGCATCGAGAGAGTCTGAGGATGGAGTGGCTTTGGGGATTGTTAGTTAAACTGTGCAACTCAGCCTACTAAAACTCTTGTTTTCTGGCTGTCCTCTCTTGTATTCCAAGCCACCATTAATGATAACGCCATTAACTCATTCCACTCCCTTTTTCTTTTTCTTTCAGATATTTCATCATCATCAACCTCGAATTGGACTAATTGGCATAATGGCATCAATCATAGAGTGAATCACAAGTGACTTCACCATCAAATTCAAGGACATGCTCAAGCATTCCTAAGCTAGCTAACTTGAAAGGAATGCGTGTTGGATCAACATTATAACATTTTCCTATGGTAGAATTAAACCAAGTTTTACACTTTTGATGTTATTATTTATTTTATTTATTATGGTTAATATTTTATAATCAAATAATAAAAAATGATATGATGATTAAAAAATTACATGAAAATGTGGTTATTTATAGAAATGAGTGGTTGCAAATATTCAAATTATAATTTAACTTGATTCTCTTATTTGATTTTTTATATAGTCGACTTAGAGTATGGGATATAAGATTTAGTATGTTATTGTTGTTATTTTTATTGTATGATTAATATTTTATTAGTAGTTATTTTATTGGTGGGTCTTTTAGGGTTTTTAAAATTAGCTTGCTTCTAGTTGCTAAGGTGTTTGCCCAATTCTATGAAAGCAATAAGGTGGTTTTCCTGTTTCCAAGATATTGTGCTAAGACCCATTATCTAATATTGGATTACATTGTGAATCCTCTTTTCAAACTGTTATTGCTTTCTAACGAGATTTGTAGATTTTTAGTAGACTTTTTTTTTGGACAGACAAGCAGAGAAAATATATTGAAGAGTAAGGTTTCCTAATATATTGAAGCAAATTTTATAAAGTTTTGTAGAGAAAATATGTTCAAGGCTTTTGTTTGGAGGACAGAGGCTTTAATTCAAATGATTTTTAATTTGTAATCTAAAGTTCTTAATTTTTAATTTATACCTAAGTAAATCTTTAATTTTTAATACTAAATTCTTAATTTTTAATTTGTACCTTAATAAGTGCTTAATTTTAATTTATATCTAAAATTTTTTTAATACAAATTAATATTTTATTTGAAATAAGAACTTGTTTAAATATAAATTAAAGGATAAATATTTATTTGGATGCCATCTCTTAGAGATAACTATATAAACTAATTTAATTAAATTTTAAATTCAATACACAATTACTAAATTCAATCTTAATTTGAGGCCTCGTTTGTTTTGTGAAAAATGATTTTTGAAAAATAATTTTTAAAAAATGTTTACATTTTCTAAATTAAAAGAGATTTTTTGTTATTTGAATGAGTTAATAAAAAATGTTTTTCATTGTTTGGATGTTTTCTGAAAAATCTATTTTTCTTTGCTTATAATATTAATGTAACTATTAAAATATTAAAATTATTTATTATCAAAGTATATTGAAATTATTTATTATTAAACTTATTAATATTAAAAAAATTATATTTTAGTAATAATATTTAATATTAAGATATTATGTTAATATAAAAAATACTTAAAATAAAACTATTTATTATTCTTTATATTATTTATTAATATATTAATAATTAATATATTATATTAATAGTATATTATTTATTAATATATTTTTATAATAATTATACATTAATATAATAATATTTATTAATGTGATATTTTTTATTTATTACTATAATAATTTTTATAAAGAAAATTATACTTAAGATATTGATGAATAATTTTATTCATAGGTAGTTCTTTTTAAAAAATTTTTATATCCGTAAAATAATTTTCAAAAAAATAACTTAAACATATAAATAATAGAGTAAGCTTAAAAATGAAAATACATAAATATACTAGATTTGATCCAACCCAAGGTAGCCTACTTCAAACTTAATTCACTAACAAATTAAATCTTTATAATTATGATACTTTTAAAACGAAAAAAGTCACAAAATTCCTTACTCAAATTTAATTTCAAAACCCAATAGGGAATTCTATTTACACCCCATTTATTACTCCATATACCCCACTTCTAAATACACTTCAAATTTAAAACTCAATTTTCTATTTCTACTAAATACACCGCCACCCATCACTTTTTATTTTTCATTTATACCCTTTCACTTTTCAATAAAAAAAACCCTAAATCCTTCAAATTAACCAAAAATCACCTATGTTTTTGAGTTTTCTAATGATTAAAGGTAAGATTCCTACCTTGTTTTTGATTAATTTTTACTGAATTGTGTTTTTGACATAGGGTTGCGATAGGATTTAGGTAAAATCAAGCTTTTCGAAAATGGATATCCGAAAAGCTTTGGATATCCATTTCGGAGAAGCTTGATTAAGTGACTTAATTGAAAATATATGCGTTTATGGACCCATTTACTTGATTATGTGTAAGAATAGAAGAGAAATGGTAATTCCTACTTGGCACAATAACTTGGCACCATAAAGAACATTGACCTTGATAATGTCAACAACAAACTGACAAATCTGGATTTAAACAGCCATACCTCAAAAAAATCATTAGAGATCCATTTGAAAATCTTAGCAAGGGACATTGTTAGGGTCAATGTTCCTTACGGTGCCAAGAGATTGAAATCTACGTTTACATACCTAATGCAACAAAGAAACTTTAATGTTTTTTTTCGTTTGGTTTTACTTTAAAATTATTAGTTTCGTTTGAAATGATAGAAGAACATTGTACGGTTTAAATACTTAATTTAGGATTAAATTTTATTATTATTATTATTTTTAAGAGTAAATGTATTTATTTTATTTAAATTTAAATTAAATGTTATCAAGAGTTTATAATTAAATATATATTTAAATAAAAATTCATGTTTTTTTGGAAATGGATTTTCAAGAATGCAGTATAACTCTCGAAAATCTATTTTCAAGAATGTAGTATAATTCTTGGAAAAAATGCAATACAATTCTTAAAAATCCATTTATGAGATTTTAGGGTTTAGTGTATGTGAAAAAGGGATGAAAAAAGAAAAAGAATAAGGAAGAAAACGGGAAAGAAGAAAAAGGTGGTTTGGGGTGTATAAGTTATTGAGGGTGTTTTTGTCATTTACTAAAGGTTAAAAGTGGTATTTGCTAAATGAATATTTTTGGAAGAAAATTTATAAGGTGTATAAAGAAGATTTTATGGTGTATTTAGAAGTCCCTAAACTCAGTTACACCCTTTTAATAGGGGGTGCATTTAGTTGTTCTTTTGATATCTCACTATTTGGGATGGCCAAACTAAAACTAAATCATCATATTTATAAAGCCTGTATAATTTTATTAAACTTCCTATATAAGATTCAAGACAAATTTTCAACGTTTATAACTCCACTAAAATTCTCATATTGGATTAAAAGATTCACTATAAAATTTTTTCATATACTAATGCTTGGTTATACTGACAGTTAAATTTCATTAGTAAAAGAGACGTTTATTGATAGATTTTTAATATCGTCAAAATATATCATACTTATACCAATACTTTTTTTGACAGTATATGACTATCCGTCAGTATAAATATCTCAATTATTTGATAAGATTGATAGTTTTACTTTATTGATTACATTCCCCTACCTAATTAATTAGATAAAAGCAACATGATTTATAATTTCAGCAAAATTTATAATTTCAGCCAAAAATACTTTCAATAATCCCCTCAATAATATTGAAGGGATTATTAAAGGCATTTTTGGCTAAAAACGCCTTGAATAATTCACTTAACAAATTTTGGAAGGGATTATTGAAGACGTTTTTGATCAAAAATGCCTTGAATAATTTCTCATAAAAATTTATTAAGGAGATTATTGAAGGTGTTTTTAGCCAAAAATACCTTAAATAATCCTTTATAAAAATTTATTGAAGGGATTATTTAAGGTATTTTTGGCCAAAAACGACTTAAATAATCCCATTGAATTTTTTGTAGGGATTATTCAAGTCGTTTCTAGTAAAAAACACCTTCAATATTCTAAAAAAAATGACGGGTTTATGAATTTAAATCATTTTCTTTACCTCTACCTCCCATCGACTCTACATACTTAATCTTCTCCTCCCACCAACTCTTTCCACCTGTTAGTACCCATAGCCTAATCTCCACGTCTCACCAACTTTCTCCACCTCTCACCAACTCTACAAACTTAAACCCATTGGCACCCATTTTGTTTTAGAGCTAAATTAAAATTGAAGCATTAAGACTCTTGTCATTTCTCAAAGGTATTTTTCATTTTCTGTATTTCAATTTTGTGTCATCAAGCATGCCTTTTGTTTGGTATTTTTAGCTGTATTGGATGAATCTAGGTTTAGTCTTTGTCACCTCGAAAAGTAGAGAAGAGCCTAAAAATGTTATTAACGACACTATTTTTGTTAATGGAACAGCTACAATAGGAAAAATAGATGAAAACTTCATCTGTTCTACTGTAAATTGGTGGCCTCTTGATAAATGTGACTATGGAATATGTAGCTGGGGAATAGCTTCTTTTCTTAATCTAGTAAGTAGCTTATCCTTAGGCTTTTCGGATAAAAACATCATAGAAAAAATTCTTTTTTTTGAAATTTTAATGTTTGTTTCGCTTTTATAGGAATTTTTTAAATAAAAAATTGGTTGATTAGGAAATGAATTGTGTGGCTCTAGTATTGGAACAAGAGTTGCAGCAGATCAATATGCATCTAATGTAAATAATCTTCATAATATTATTTAGAATATATATAGAGGATTTTATGTTCAGCCATTAGTAATAGCACCAGAAGGATTCTTTGATGCAAACTTCGCACACCATGTTTGTAGACATTCAATCATAGATATTAATGTTCTTTTCTTTTGGATTTGGTACAATGATGTTAGTTCTTGACTTATTTTAAATTTGTGGATTATAAAACAATTTGGTTGTTGTTTTATTTCAATGTTATTAAATATTTTTACTTTTTATGTATTTTTACTTTATATTATGATTATAAGTAAATGAATATTAATAACTAAAAATATAATTAAAAAAAGTTTTTACTAACTCCTTATAATTTATACCAATACGTTTTACTATTGAAATATTTCAAACCATACTAATAGTCATCAAAGACCGTCGATATAGGCAAAAAAAAAAATTAAAACATATGAGTCTATACTAATGAGAATTAACCATCAGTGTAGGCAAGATAATTAAAACATACAAATCTATACTGACGAGTGTTAATCATTGATAAAATGTATAACGGTGGACACACAACATATGCTATACCAAT